TAATCTTTGTATCCGTGTATTAAACATTTATGCTATAATCTTTGTAATCCGTGTATTAAACATCTATGCTATAATCTTTGCAATCTGTGTATTAAACATCTATGCTATAATCTTTGTAATCTGTGTATTAAACATCTTTGCTATAATCTTTGTAATCTGTGTATTAAACATCTTTGCTATAATCTTTGCAATCTGTGTATTAAACATCTATGCTATAATCTTTGCAATCTGTGTATTAAACATCTTTGCTATAAACTTTGTAATCTGTGTATTAAACATCTATGCTATAATCTTTGCAATCTGTGTATTAAACATTTATGCTATAATCTTTGTAATCCGTGTATTAAACATCTATGCTATAATCTTTGTAATCCGTGTATTAAACATCTATGCTATAATCTTTGTAATCCGTGTATTAAACATCTATGCTATAATCTTTGTAATCTGTGTATTAAACATCTATGCTAGTTCTCAATAATCAGAGTTATTCAAACCGAACTGACATATGTGGAAATGGCTATCCAATACCATTACAATGTGGACATTCTGAAAACGGTTATTCTGTCGTATAATGATAAATTGGTTATTATCGAAATAAGGGCAAAGAAAATATGCTTACACTTCTCCTTTTCTAAATTAATTGTCAACCGATAAAATAGAAAAATAGATAAACCAAGTACTAACGATCCGAATGTTACTCTTTATAAATTTAAAATTCTTTTCACTGTAAATTCAGGGAATATTGAGTGTCTGAAGATATAACCGGCCCCCTTTCAGATATATTTATACTGGTACATGGACTTGTGTGGAAAACGTTAAATCAAGACTGTAAACCCAATCAAAGCTGTAATTTTTGTTTCTGTATGTGACTCCACTTACAGTTCATGATCTGACAATATTGTAATGCATCTCTTGTTCTGATTCAACCAATTAAATACCCTGCTGCTCAATAAAAGACTTTATCACTAGATTCATTGTTAAGAATTGACCGTATTTTTGATTGTTAGCATAAATTATGATGACTTTTGATGCTATTGGGTCCAAAATCCACAGAACACAATTTCGAAAAAGATCTCGTCAGATCATGGAATGTAGTTACCCGTTGATTAAACGATTTAAAAAGGTAGATATACCTTACTGAGGTGAAACGTGAAACATCCGATTGTAGGCATACCTTACTGAGGTGAAACCTGAAACATCCAATTGTAGGTATATCTTACTGAGGTGAAACCTGAAACATCCGACTGTAGGTATACCTTACTGAGGTGAAACCTGAAACATCCGATTGTAGGTATACCTCACTGAGGTGAAACCTGAAATATCCGATTGTAGGTATACCTCACTGAGGTGAAACCTGAAACATCCGATTGTATATATACCTTACTGAGGTGAAACCTGAAACATCCGTTTGTAGGTATAACTCACTGAGGTGAAACCTGAAACATCCAATTGTAGGTATATCTTACTGAGGTGAAACCTGAAACATCCGATTGTAGGTATACCTCACTGAGTTGAAACCTGAAACATCCGATTGTAGGTATACCTCACTGAGGTGAAACCTGAAACATCCGATTGCAGTACGATGGCAAACATTTTTTTTAAAAAAAGTTATTCTAAAATACGAAATGTAACATCAAGGGTTTTATTTCAGATATGTAGAATTTTAACCGCTGGTATGGTACAAAACATTCTATTTCGTGAAATTTATCGGATAGATATTTCTCATAATTTATTCTTAATATTTTAGTTTACCTCAAATGTCCCGTGCCCTATCGTACAATCGATTTGGATGTAGTTTTTATGTGTAAAAATATATTTCTTTTCATAAATTTCTATAATTGATTCCCATTATTTTTACCATGATTTCAATCTGATTGAATATAAAAGCAGGGATTATTTCATGTAATTAAGTTTTCGTTTGACTATAGATAGTAATAATAGGTCTTCACGGTGCCGGTCACCAGTCGGTAGCCTCAGGCTTTCTAGTTTCGTATCTATCAACTAAAAATACTTTAATGCATGATTGATAAAGGGTTAACTGTGTTAAAAAGGGGGGCAAATTAAGGTCGAAGAGTATAGGTTGGAGAGTATACAGTGAGTGATTGTTGGATAGTCGGACAGGCACGGTAACTACAACTAGTAGCATCATCTCTTTAACACACCCGAAAATATCAAATATTTCTAACGTGTTTCACTTTAGTAGATAAACCTTGTAAATGAGACCTGTGTAAAAATAATCATTATATAGGTATGATTATCTAAACGGCTAATAAAAGTTTCTTTTGTTTTGTAAATATGAACAAGAGTAAGGGTAAAACACTCTAGTATACAAAGGTCGTTCACTGCCTCATGCGAAGTTATATAGCTTAAGTAAACTATGTTATTTATTAATAAGGGTTTTCAACGACAATGGCTTTTTAGATAAAGACATTTTACAGACAGAAAAACATCAATTATTTATTTTACTCAAATCCGTACAGAAGCTATCTAATAGCTTACAAAAACAGGTGCCACTTTTCATTATGAAAAACCCCATTTTTTACGATTGATATACTTACTTCCTCTAATGAAAAGTTCATTAACTTCTATAAATTTGGTTTTGTCGCTAGAATTTAGGATTTTTATTCAATATATTTAACCATCTTTATCTTTGCGTATTGTTTAGTTACAGTTCACAGTCAAAGTCAAATAACAACGGAGACCTTACCCGACAAGTGTAATAATGCTCCTCTTTCGAGTTGTTATAATATCGTCTCTAGTGAAATCATTGCTGCTAACAGAGATCTTACGGCTTACTGCAGGTAAAGAATTTGTTTAAACATTTCTGTGAACAATTTTTAAAACTCTCTCCATTAAAATCCAATACGTCGACCCATACCAATTATAAATATTAGAACCTCTTAAAAAATCGAATATTTCTAGCTGTTGTCAAGTATATCAAGTGTTTATTTATTGTATAATTTAGAGCTGTAGTCAAGTATATCAAGTGTTTATTCATTGTATAATTTAGAGCTGTAGTCAAGTATATCAAGTGTTTATTCATTGTATAATTTAGAGCTGTAGTCAAGTATATCAAGTATTTTTTTATTGTATAATCTAGAGCTGTAGTCAAGTATATCAAGTGTTTATTTATTGTATAGCCTAGAGCTGTAGTCAAGTATATCAAGTGTTTATTTATTGTATAATTTAGAGCTGTATCAAGTGTTTATTTATTGTATAATTTAGAGCTGTAGTCAAGTATATCAAGTATTTATTTATTGTATAATTTAGAGCTGTAGTCAAGTATATCAAGTGTTTATTTATTGTATAATCTAGAGCTGTAGTCAAGTATATCAAGTATTTTTTTATTGTATAATTTAGAGCTGTAGTCAAATATATCAAGTGTTTATTTATTGTATAATCTAGAGCTGTAGTCAAGTATATCAAGTGTTTATTTATTGTATAATTTAGAGCTGTAGTCAAGTATATCAAGTGTTTATTTATTGTATAATTTAGAGCTGTAGTCAAGTATATCAAGTCTTTATTTATTGTATAATTTAGAGCTGTAGTCAAGTATATCAAGTGTTTATTTATTGTATAATTTAGAGCTGTAGTCAAGTATATCAAGTGTTTATTTATTGTATAGTCTAGAGCTGTAGTCAGGTATATCACGTGTTTATTTATTGTATAGTCTAGAGCTGTAGTCAGGTATATCACGTGTTTATTTATTGTATAATTTAGAGCTGTAGTCAAGTATATCAAGTCTTTATTTATTGTATAATTTAGAGCTGTAGTCAAGTATATCAAGTGTTTATTTATTGTGTAATCTAGAGCTGTAGTCAAGTATATCAAGTGTTTATTCATTGTATAATTTAGAGCTTTAGTCATGTATATCAGGTGTTTATTTATTGTATAATTTAGAGCTGTAGACAAGTATATCAAGTGTTTTTTTATTGCATAATTCAGAGCTGTAGTCAAGTATATCAAGTGTTTATTTATTGTATAATTTAGAGCTGTAGTCAAGTATATCAAGTGTTTATTTATTGTTTAATTTAGAGCTGTAGTCAAGTATATCAAGTGTTTAGAAGATGCTACGTGTGATTGTAAACTAGGAATAAATGTTGTAGCTTTGACAGGATCTACATCGTTTAATTACCAACTTTCTGCTTACAACTGTTCTAGTGGTACGTACTCTCTTTCAAGTGTTCAATAGATACTGAGCATGTACCTATAATACTTAATAGCACGCCGGCATGCAGCACAAGACTTTGGGTTGTTCACTGTTTAGTTAATACACCATCGATCTAATCAGGGTTTAAAGGCAGTCAATATTTTTGAATACTGAATCTTGTATTTATATAAAACCCCAATACAATTTTTTTTCTTAAAGTTGAATATTCATATTGTTATCCAATGTCAATTTCTTTTCAGTTCTAAATGAAACTTTAAATGTCGGACCTGGTTTTAACTGCCCTGGTAAGTTAAATCTCATCCACATTAATCTCTAAAATGACCTCACATTTACAATCTTACTTTTTTAATGAAGTTTGTGCTGTTAACGCGTAACTTCTCTACTTCGGGCGACTCGTTCGGGCATGCTAACTCGTTGACAATACATGGTTGGTTAACGTCTGTTTCCAGAAGATGCCGATATCACAGACTTCGACAATACACTTCTTATACGACTAATAGAACAAATAATAGAACAATGGAGAAGATATTTTTATTTCATGATTTAAATCAAAAGTCAAAGTGATTAAGTCTATTGATATAAACTATAATCCAAGTTCGAGATACGGAAGTTTGTAAGAAATGAAACTACTATAGAAAATAAAGTTCTTGTTTCTCTATAGGCGGAGTTGGTCCTGGTGATCCGGAAGTCGAAGGTCTGTTAGTTCTCTCATTAGAGACATGTAAGTATTTTGAATTATTGATTTTATATTTTAAGATTCTAAATATCATGAATGTGAAAGTAAGTATTAGTGCTAGTATGATATATTGGTGAATCGATGTATCGCGATAGGACATGTCACATACGCGTATCGTATCGCGACGTCGTGTATCGATACTTCGCGATTTTTATAACCGTAAAACCTGGATTGTCTACCCTAACCGTAAAACCTGGACTGTCTATCCTAACCGTAAAACCTGGATTGTCTATTCTAACCGTAAAACCCGGATTGTCTATCCTAACCGTAAAACCTGGATTGTCTACCTTAACCGTAAAACCTGGATTGTCTACCCTTACCGTATAACATGGATTGTCTACCCTAACCGTATAACCTGGATGGTCTACCCTTGACGTTGTCTTGCAATTGGAATGCTTCAAGTTAATTTTTATATTTTAATTATTTTGTTTTAGTGGAGACTGTGGTGTCTCTGGAGAATAGTTGTCCTGGAATTAAACCCTGTTATAAAACATTTAGTGATGCTGCTGGTATCGCCCTGTATAAAAAGAGTTTAGGATCTTTCTGCAGGTTGGTATATCACAGTCAATAGAGATTTTTGATATTTACATTAAAAATAAAACAAAAATAAAATGAAGGAATGGTGTTTATGTCCTACTGTTCTTCACTATGTTGGCTAATGAAGACGGGCAACGACACGCAGTGTGCAGTGAGAGACATCTGGCCAGGACAGTAGGATTAGCTTACTCTTTTTCAGATTTTCAACTCACGAGGGATTTTTAACTAGAATTCCTGTAGCACAAGGGGCCTTGGTTTATTGTCCCATCCAAATGACTAGACGCTTCTTCCATGTGAGTCCCCTCTTACTTGCATCACCAGGTGCAATCCGAAGGTTTTATCTCGGCCTTTGTCGGGATTGAACCCTGAACCTTCAGGTTAACAGGCAAGCGTCTAACTCACTGAGCCACCGCGGCTCCCTACATCAAAACAAAACAATACAATTTGTCACAATTGTGTATCATAGAGGACTGAGCAAAGCATGTCTAATAAACGGGTCTTCATGACTTGTTTTGATTGGTTTCAAATAACGTCATTAGAACCTTACTACGTAGAAAAGTTGTTAGATTACAGTGGGAATGGATATCATAAAAATAGAATCGAATTGTGATGTAATTTCAATAAGATTGAATGTAAACTACTAACTAGAGTCCAAACTGAATTTCGTGTTTCTTTACAGAGCTTACGAGGATTTTTTGCCCTGCTATGAAAACGCTTCCTGTTCCTGTGGAGAAAATAGAAACGACCAAATAGTCGATCTAGTGGAAGCGGAAAGAATCTTATATAACCAGTACTGTACCATAGGTAAGTTCTTATATAACCAGTACTGTACAATAGGTAAGTTCTTATAGGATAGGTACTGTACAATAGATAAGTTTTTATATAACCAGTAATGTACTATAGGTAAGACTTTATATAACCAGTTCTGTACACTAGGTAAATTCTTCTATAACCGGTACTGTACAATAGGTAATTTCTTATATAACCAGAATTGTACAATAGGTAAGTTCTTATATTACCAGTACTGTACAATAGGTAAGTTCTTATATAACCAGAACTGTACAATAGGTAAGTTCTTATATTACTAGCACTGTACAATAAGTAAGTTCTAATAGGATCAGTACTGTACAATAGATAAGTTCTTATATAACCAGAACTGTACAATAGGTAAGTTCTTATATTACTAATACTAAACAATAGGTAAGTTCTTATATTACTAATACTGTACAATAGGTAAGTTCTTATATTACTAATACTGTACAATAGGTAAGTTCTTATATTACTAATACTGTACAATAGGTAAGTTCTTATATTACTAATACTGTACAATAGGTAAGTTCTTATATTACTAATACTAAACAATAGGTAAGTTCTTATATTACTAATACTGTACAATAGGTAAGTTCTTATAGGATAGGTACTGTACAATAGCTAAGTTCTTATATAGCCAGCACTGTACAATAGGCAAGTTCTTAAATTACTAGCACTGTACAATAGGTAAGTTCTTATAGGATCAGTACTGTACAATAGGTAAGTTCTTATATAACCAGTACTGCACAATAAGTAAGTTCTTATATAACCAGTAATGTACCATAGGCAAGTTCTTATATGATCAGTACTGTACAATAGGTAAGTTCTTATATTACCAGCACTGTACAATAGGTAAGTTCTTTTATAACCAGTACTGTACAATAATTAAGTTCTTATATAACCAGTAATGTACCATAGGCAAGTTCTTATATGATCAGTACTGTACAATAGGTAAGTTCTTATATAACCAGAACTGTACAATAAGTAAGTTCTTATATAACCAGTACTGTACAATAGGTAAGTTCTTATATAACCAGTACTATACAGTAGGCAAGTTCTTATATGATCAGTACTGTACAATAGGTAAGTTCTTACATAACCAGTACTGCACAATAAGTAAGTTCTTATATAACCAGTACTGTACAATAGGTAAGTTCTTATATAACCAGTACTGTACAATAGGCAAGTTCTTATAGGATCAGTACTGTACAATAGGTAAGTTCTTATATAACCAGTACTGTACAATAGACAAGTTCTTATATAACCAGTACTGTACAATAGGTAAGTTCTTATATAACCAGTATTGTACAGTAGACAAGTTCTTATATAACCAGTACTGTACAATAGGCAAGTTTTTATAGGATCAGTACTGTACAATAGGTAAGTTCTTATATAACCAGAACTGTACAATAGGTAAGTTCTTATATTACTAGCACTGTACAATAGGTAAGTTCCTATATAACCAGAACTGTACAATAAGTAAGTTCTTATATAGCCAGTACTGTACAAAAGGCAAGTTCTTATATAGCCAGTACTGTACAAAAGGCAAGTTCTTATAGGATCAGTACTGTACAATAAGTAAGTTCTTACATAACCAGTACTGTACAATAGGCAAGTTCTTATATTACTAGCACTGTACAATAGGTAAGTTCTTATATAACCAGAACTGTACAATAAGTAAGTTCTTATATAACCAGTACTGTACAATAGGTAAGTTCTTATATAACCAGAACTGTACAATAAGTAAGTTCTTATATAACCAGTACTGTATAATAGGTAAGTTCTTATATAACCAGTACTGTACAATAGGTAAGTTCTTATATAACCAGAACTGTACAATAAGTAAGTTCTTATATAACCAGTACTGTACAATAGGTAAGTTCTTATATAACCAGTACTGTACAATAGGTAAGTTCTTATATAACCAGAACTGTACAATAAGTAAGTTCTTATATAACCAGTACTGTACAAAAGGCAAGTTCTTATATAACCAGTACTGTACAATAGATAAGTTCTTATATAACCAGAACAGTACAATAGACAAGTTCTTATATAACCAGTACTGTACAATAGGCAAGTTCTTATATAACCAGTACTGTACAATAGATAAGTTCTTATATAACCAGAACTGTACAATAGGTAAGTTCTTATATAACCAGAACTGTACAATAGATAAGTTCTTATATAACTAGTACTGTACAATTTGTTAGTTTCGTTGAAACCATTGGAAGTTAACATCCCACTTTTCTGATTGTTAATTTTTTAAAGGATGTGCGTTCATATCATTAAGAACGTCGGTATTCCATTGCGATTTAGGAAAGCAATATTTGGTATTTACATATTTGGTATTTACATATTTGGTATTTAGTTTATTGAGTTTTCCTGAAAAACTTGTGGACATTTTTTGAATATTTCATAATATCTTATCAATTGTTTTATTGAATTTTCAGTGACAAATGGTGTATTTTTTGAGAAAGGTATTAAATGCAAAGGTAAGACGTATTGTATATCATTATATTTTATAAGTCCATACCGCAATAACTAGAAGGTTTATCTTTGAGGCAACAATTTACCTTTAAAGTCTGTTTGCTCTTCATCGCAAAATATTCCACTAGTAATCACCTATACCGTAGATATCAAATTCAATATGTTTAGAGAATATTATATTTTTAGTTTTTTAAAAGAAAATTGTTTTTTGTCAATACCATCTTGATTAATTTGATCTGTATCCACATTATCCCTAATAATAATTTTATTTTTAGGCGATAAACCAGTTGATGTATGTGAAAAAGAAAACCCTATCTATGACTGCTTTCAGAATTTTCAGAAATCTATATTCAATAAAGCTGGAAATAGAAGTGTTCTTTGTCCGTAAGTCAACATTATATCTATGTATATTAACCATCAGCACAGTAAGCAGAGGAACTAACGGTATTCGATCAACTATTTGGAATATTCTGATGAGAAGTATATTTCTGTTAAATGTTAATACATGCAATTAGTTTTCAACCTTTGAAGATATTGAGAATAATGTTGTTGAAAATATTACATAACATGGGGGTATCACCATGCTGAAACAGTTGTCAGTCGAGTCTACAAAAACTGTGTCGAAAACAATTCTTAGCTTGGAGCTGACATACAGAATATTTATTCCGTCGTTCTGACAAAATTTTTCTCATTGCACACTGCATGGGGTTGCCCGTCTTCCTTAGCCCAATTAGGTGAAGAAGAGTAGGATGTACATCCATTCATCCATTTCCTTTTTTGGATCTGACAGGTTAATGTTATGGAGTTATAAGTCTCACTGGTTGTTATATTATTATGTCTATAATTCAAATATCTTTTTATCAGAGAGGTGTGTGATAATTAATATTTCAGTGCCTTTAAAGATTATTTGAATTGTTCTGAATCAACAGCTTGTAAATGTGGTTTGACTAAATCAGCATTCGTCTTACAAGAATTGACACTAACTCATGGTAATTATGAAAGCCAGGGATGCAACGAAGGTATGTTCCATTAATCATTATCATTAACACATCATAATCAGCATAAATTATCATCATCATTGTCGTCATCATTGATGCAAGTACTATTAGAACTTACAATCATCATCATCATTATAATTCGTCATCACCATCTTGATTATCATCATCATCGTCGTCGTCATTAATGCAAGCACTAACTTGAAATCACCATCATAGTCATTTACCCACCATTCATTATTTTCATTATTTATAACATACCTCGTTTTGAAACACGTACAGGTAACGTTCTCAAATATAGTGATAAAAGATAAAAAACAATACAATCTGTATAAGAAGATATTAAGACGTTGAACCTGCAATCTTCCTACTTGTATAATAATGTCTGATAAGCATTATCTCATGTTGTTTATTTCAGTCAGTGGTGTAATTCAAATAAAATTTGGAATAAATTGTCCAGGTTTGCGAATATCACATAATTTTTATTGAATATAATCCGTTAACCAAAATTGTCGTTCGAAGCATGTAACCAAATTTTTATGATAGTGGAGGCCTCAAACAGAAGTACCATCAGGCGTTTCAAAAAGAGTTTGAGGGCCATCAGTTGTTGAAGAATTGAGATGATCGGCTTACATCCACCAAGTGATTCTGTGTTTATTAGTGTTTATATAAGCTTAGATATCAATCAGAATAGAGAATGGCCGGCCCCAGGGACAAGTGGATTTGTATCAAGTTACAATATAAACACTGATTGGTTGTAATAATTAAAATCCAATGATATCTATTTTAGAAAGTGGAACCAGCGAGAACGAGCTGTTTGAAAGCCTTGGATTGTTGGAAAGTAAGTCAGCACTTCTAACTTATCATTAAACAAGGTTTCTCAATTAACCTATGAATACCTGACACTCAATGGAAGATTATGTAACCTCGAGACTGAACAGGGCAGTGGACATTGACGACCGGGTCCGGGATTGTTTCCTTTGTTTTGGCAGTCTTGTTAGCAATTTTATAAATATTTGTGTATCTGTGAAATTGCTTTATAAAATATATTATGTTGTTTTCCTTCGCTTAATGGACATTTCATTTGATTCATTGGAGAACAAGTCTTTCTTATCAATGTCGTTCGATCTAGAACTAGCTAGAACTAAAGAAAACTTGGAATATGTTCAAATTCTGAGCGTCAAAACAATGGTTTAATTTTGCAGATAAAATAGTGTTAAAGTCGATACAAGACTGTCACACAATAGAAAGATGTTATCGAACAAAGGATTCGTCTTCAGCGAAAGCCCTCTACGAGAAAAACGCTACTGCTATGTGCCAGTGAGTTCAAACGTTTACATTCTCCTAACCTTAACCTTAAACCCAAATCTAAACCTTAAACCTAAATCTTAAACCTGATATACTGATATGATACCGTCACGTTTAGGGCCAGACTTGGAATGTCACTTTATAAATGAGATGTTCCGATCAGTTTTTGAGAATGTTCACTATGTTAAAAGCCAATTTTTCATATATATGAATTCTGTTTTCTAGGCCCAATGTTCCCCATTCCCTAAACATAAAAACTCTAGAAATATCAGTCATTGTCAAATTAGATTTATCTTTCAGATCCTATAGTGATTTCATCCATTGTGTTGAACAAGCCTCGTGCTTGTGTGGACGTTTTGCAGATCCTGTTTTCCAGGCGGATCTTTATAGACAAAAAGTTCAACATGTTGGAATCTGTCCTGCAGGTAGTGTTTAACTTTGTAATTATAAGTATATGTATGCTAGATGAAAGGTTAGTGGCTTATTGAAAATACATGTCATTGAATGATATAGAATACAAGAGACCTATCCAGATATGATTTAAATTGGGTAAAGAAACATCAGCATGTATTTTGGTAATTTTAGCGTAAAATTCCCTCATTTCATTTCATTTTTCTAACGAGGTGAAATGTCTGTACTTTGTATAATTCTAAAAAATGTTCATGTGACGAGGTGAAATGTCTGTACTTTGTATAATTCTAAAAAATGTTCATGTGACGAGGTGAAATGTCTGTACTTGTATAAATCTAAAGAATATTCATGTGACGAGGTGAAATGTCTGTACTTGTATAAATCTAAAGAATGTTCATGTGACGAGGTGAAATGTCTGTACTTGTATAAATCTAAAGAATGTTCATGTGACGAGGTGAAATGTCTGTACTTGTATAAATCTAAAGAATGTTCATGTGACGAGGTGAAATGTCTGTACTTGTATAAATCTAAAGAATGTTCATGTGACGAGGTGAAATGTCTGTACTTGTATAAATCTGAAGAATGTTCATGTGACGAGGTGAAATGTCTGTACTTGTATAAATCTAAAGAATGTTCATGTGACGAGGTGAAATGTCTGTACTTGTATAAATCTGAAGAATGTTCATGTGACGAGGTGAAATGTCTGTAATTTGTATAATTCTAAAGTATACTCACGTGATTATAATTTCAGATGTAACAGTAAAGGCAGTTTTTTCTTGTGGTAAGTCGTAGTGCTGTTTTTATTTGAAGGGGTGTGTATATTTGTTATTTAAAGATGGGGTGTGAGAGGGGGGGGGGGGGGAATGTATTTGGCTTCTGAAATAACCTCGGTGGTATCAGTTGATACCATTAGTTGAGGGGGCCAGGAAGGGGCCAGAAAATTTTCCAGTGGGGCACAGGCTATTCTTTTACTATGCGACCAGGCGTTGCTTCATCAACACGATTCTTTAATCTTAAGCAGGTAAAACTGGTTTTGGGTCTCGATTTCATGTAGACGACGTGCTCTATCTATTGTATTGATTTTATTTGTCAGTATTGTTATTTTTAGATGCATGTGCTATGAGTGAAGCTAATAATCTAAGCAACCCTATAAACCAATGTTTCGTCGATTATCAGGAGTCAATCAAATCAGCCCCTAACGATGTGAATTTAGTATGTCTGTGAGTATAGGCTAGTTTAATAACTACTACCAATTCTCAAACAATTATTCTGAATTTCATATCGTGGTTTGGATCGTAATTACTTGTTTTTAATTATATTACTTTCTTCTTCACGGGACATTCTACACCACGAAATGATCCTTGTCATATGGTTAGGCATGGTACCCGCAAGATATTTGGATTGACAGAGAACTACTTCTACAAACCCACCAACATGCTTTCGGTCAGGCGACCAAGGCCTTTCCCCCACACAATATTGATTTCAAGGATGTCTTTGAGTAAACTGAAAAAACGTCTTGATATCACTGACTTCACTGGATAATATTTCTATCTTTCTAGTAGAAAAAGGGAGAGTGGGCATATAATCATTAGGTCGTCCAAAACTCTAGAAACTTGAGAAATTTGATGTTGTTCGTCGGATGTTGTTCAGAAATATATTGTTATTCTATATTACAGTGGATATAAAAGTTTTTTGAAATGTGTTGAAGGAACTGCCTGTTCTTGTGGATTGAAGAAATCTGCCAGCATTTTACAAACTTTAACTTTAGCTCATTCCTTTTACGATAGAAATAATTGTTCCAGCAGTAAGTAGCTTTATAATCGAGTATTTTCTAGGGAATTGTCGTGATTCGATTGTCAACAGAAGGTCGGTTTGACAGGCCAATAGACATGTAGGTTGTGGCCGAATACGTCTTCGTGTGGAAAATTCTTTGTTGATTTAAAAGGCTCAGGGCCCGGTTAGAAATAAAACAACTTACAATAAAATTTTACCACAAATTGACATGATCAATTATGAATTGTCTTGCTTGTATGGATATTGTTTAGACTAGGGGTAAATATTGATATTACAATGTTAGATTTTGTGAAGACTGGGCTAGACGTACAACTAGTATACTCAGTGCCTGACATGACTCGGTCCTTTTTCCTTAAATTATTCTAGACTATTTCTGAAGAATCTAGATAAGCGAATGATTTAGGCGTCTATTGTCTGAGCAAAGTTAAAAGTTTTTTTTTGTATATTTATTTGAATGAATTAGAATATCAGCCTCAAAATAGTACTTTTATTCTTAGAATTTCTTTGCGTTTTTTTTTTTTCTTTTGCAGTTAAAGAGAAATCCTTTTGAAGACATAATCTGTGCTCATCTTTATATTTCTATCAACGCAAGGACATTCTAAGACTATCAGTATCGGTGCTATTTTAAGGCTGCTATTCCATTTCTCATACAAATGCTCGACAAAATTAAAAAAAAACACGTTTACTTTGCTCTGACAATAAACGTATGGTTTTGTTATCGGTATTATATTTTTATTATGTTGTTTTCAGTCAGTGGAAAGGTTCCTATTCAATTTGGAATCAATTGTCCATATAATAATACAGACGGAACTTCAGAAAACGAGATTCTAACCACACTAGGCGTCATGGAAAGTAAGTTCGTGCAATGATACTCTTTTATATTTCCCACTGCCGAGGAATCTTTTTATGTACCCAGCCTGTATCACATATAGTGTTTCTATATCAGTCCCTCCTACCTGAAGTTTCCAAATCGCAGAAACCCCGGTCTCCTCATCAAATAAAATGCTGATCTTTGTTAAATATATCTTGATCATTGGAATAGAAATAGAGTAGAAGTTAATTTGAACCACTGTGCTGAGGGATTTTCTTTCTTTGTACACCTCGTTGTCATTATGTTTATATAGCAAAGTTTCTATTTCTATACGTGAACAAAACCATGACTAAAAACTAGGAGAAAACGTCACTGTACACATTATATAAACAATAGGACATTCTTATTTTTACAGTTGATTTATCAAAATTCCCTACTTTAAATTGTTTGCACGTAACTTCCTCAATATTGGAATCATCTCTCTGTTACAGGTGAAGCTACACTGCGGTATGTGAAACTATGCCCGACTGTCCAACAATGTATCGCTAAAGCTGATGTTGACATGGCCAAAGCTTTACACGAGAAAAACGGAGCAGATTATTGTCGGTACGTTTTATTTCAAGTTTGGTGTCGTAATCTCTTAATACACCTTCTCATTCACGATGTTTTTTACAGATCGCCAAGCCATATTTTTGACATGTCAAAAACGTTTTTAAGATTGTATTCTGATTGTATGATAACTTGTTAACATCCACTTCATATACACGATATTTCTAACGAGTACTAACGAATCACGAACTCGAGTCAACCGCAAGCATCATACGAGTTATTATTAAAATATATTTACAGCATACTTGCACCACATGTGTTTTAATATTATTTTATTCAGTGTTGGCAGTATTTATGTTCACTGTCTTGAAGATACGAAATGCGGATGTGAAGATGAAGATTTTCAGACAATGGTGGTATTAGCTAAAAAGCAACATCTCTCAATTTGTCTCGGTGAGTAGTGAATTAAAATCAGAGCCTATCAGTGTATGATGAATCACTAGGAATGTATTTGATCAGGTGACAAAGAAAAATGTGTTTTAACGAAGAGAAGCATGTATTTATTACATTAAGGTAGAACTGTCTGTATTCAAATCGTCTCCTCACGTTCGTTGATGAGAATCAATCTTGGACCAATTATATAGACACGTGACCAGAAATAGTTAAAAAGATAAATTCAACTAAATTTACCTTCAGTTGAGAATTTGGTTTCTGTTCTCTCTGGACATTGATAATTGCAGAAAACACACGAAAAACAATATCTTGTTAGAAATATAAACGTTTTGGTGGAAAAACTCAAATTCAGATCATTGATCGCCTTTATTGATACTTTTATAAATTTTATTCCATGATATTTCCACGTTTTTATTCATGGTGAGATAACTAGATTTATTATTACTTATTCAATTTCAGATGCTTCATTTAACGACTCTGTGACCTGTGGTAAGTTGCTTTTTTGACGATTAAAATTGCAATTTCCTTGTTTAATCACAGTCCTTCACCTAGTTTAATACTGCTCTTCTGATAAATTGTCAATTTGTTTTACTGTTTGGTTTGTCCGGCTTTAAGCAGAAATGAAGAAAGTATATTGTATAAAATTGTCCCCTCAATAATTATATATAGTTAGAAAATTGTTTGCTTATTTTTTAGTGTCAAATTAAGCAAACTATTCGATTAATTGGTGTTTCTAATGAATTATCATTTATTCTTAATCATATCATTATGTCCTTATTGCATATAATTAAGAGTTTTAACCAATCATAAATATCCATGTATGTACTGTCTGGATAAACAAAAAAGACTTTTTGACCTTTCTTGATCGGTTAGGAATTCTGCTATTAATTCTCTTCTTATTTAGCTAATTATGAATTAATAATTATGAACACCTCTACTTTCTATTCATAGAAGTATTAGCATTTTCATAAATGAAAATAAGGGAACCCATCTTTAATAGGATGATAAAAGGCACCGTCTAATATTTTGTTAATTTTATAATATTCAAGTATTAATGTTTATATTTCTGTTTTTCAGGTTCTGCTGTGATCAAGATTTCGTCTCTAACTTTATTATTTATTAACTTTACTTTTTTAAATTTCTTTAACTTTATCAATTCCTACAGTCAATAAGTTACCTTTCTTTTCCTATTTCCTAATCAATCTGATTAAAACACAGATGTATCCGTTTCGTTTCATAAGATTTCTGTAGGTTATTACACTTGCTATCCATGGTCCAACCAGGAGGGCTTATTCTCAAAAACTTAAATAAGATAAAATCCAGATCATGGTTGAATACTAAATGATCCAGAACATGACATGTAGGACAATTCTGTCAGATCATGGATTGTAAGTAGAGTCACCCCAAAGAAACAAGGTCTGTGTTTTAATAAGAGTGGTTCTGAAATCGTTTTCTTCTATTTAAATGTTAATGCTAATCTTTGTTTTGACCAGCGTGACAACAAGTATAGCGTTACCACTATAGCAACAACACATATTGTTAAAAAAAATAGAATTAGTTTTTGTACAACTTTTAATATTGAAACAAATCAAAGATGATTATATATACAGTCGAATTAATACTTCATGGGGACTCATGGTTCATTAATTTCCAAAATGAGGACAAATTCTTAAGAACATTTTATTACGAATTGTTGTTGTCAATTAATATCTGTACTATAACACTGAATAAACTATAATATATTTAATGTTTTAATTCATTGAACATGAAAAATACCAAAACCATGGCAGTAAAATATTGTTTGAAATGCCTAAATAACAGAAACGAGTGGAAGAGACAGGGTTGTTTTAATATCAAACTGATCCTGTACAACTGATAACCAATTCAATTGAGTAATAATTCAACAGATATACTTCTTAATATTTCATATTTATCCAACATTTTGACAACCCAATTTTTCTGGAAGATAATGGTCTATTTTTAAACCACCTGTCACAAGGACTGTAGAATTATAGACCAATCTCTGTGCCCAATAAACTGTCAATAAATAAGAGAAAATGTGGTTTTTAAATCAAACTGATCCTCTACAGCTGATTTTATAATTAATAAGGTAATAATTCCTCATAATATCTCACTTACTACTTATTATATACAAAATATTTTAATAACCCAGGAAATTTAAAAAACAAATTGTTAAGATTTTGTATCCTGATCATGTGACTACAAAATAGAATGAGATCAACTAAATTAACTATAATTCATGATGTATATCAATCGCATATAGTATTCTATATAATACCACCATATATTCAGTCAATAATTAATGAATAAATAGTCACTTGGATGATAAAGTGGGTAGAGTCTAAGCACTTTAAAAAAACAAAGAAGAAATAAATCGGAGTTTAATTTAATAATGAACACTATTATCACTTTGTAAGTTTATTGATTTACAGAATTCCATCCCACCAATGAAATCATCACATTTTAATCTGACTTTTTTGATTGGTCATTGTTTCGATAGTTTCGATATCGGTTACGAAGCCAGGATAAATCTGATTGTATTTTTTGACGGAGAACGTGTAAGGTGGTTACTAAATTTCCAGCAAATAAAATAAAATGAATAACAGCTAGAACTATAACCTGAAAATAGAAATAAAAGGGAGATAATCAATATAACTCTTCTCTTAATCTGACATTCATAGAAATTCTCCAAAGTTAAAAGGTGCTGTATTGTAAGAATATTTCTTATTTGAATGGAGTTTTACATCCTACTTTTCTGCACCATGTGGTCAAATGAAGGTAACGTTATGCAGGGTGCAATGAGGGAAATTTTGCTGTTAAGGGATCTTTAACGTGCACAGCCTATAGCACCTTGTTTTATTGTCCCCTCCCAACAACTAGACACTTTTTGTGAGTTGTAAATGATCAGACCTCTATAGATAATACTGAACATTCCCCTTACTTGTTGTTTACAAGCGCGTGCTTTATTAAAATTTATCTACTTCAATGATACTGTCTTTAATTGCTGAGACAAATTTACATGTAGTGTTCATACATTTTCACTTTTACAGTCATCAAATATCGGTTATTGTAATGACTTACCTGCCATTCTTTACACTCTGGAAGTCTGGATAATTGATATAAAGTATAAGCATTATAAAACTGGAAAACCTGGACAAAAACAAAATACAAAGTCATGAGAAAGTATAAACAACAGTGAAATATAAATATAGTCAAATTAAATTACTAGTATAAACAACAGTGAAATATAAATATAGTCAAATTAAATTACTAGTATAAACAACATGACAGTTAACCTAGAAGTTATAAATCTTATCTTAAAAGAAAAAATATCAAAATATAAGATTCCAAATGATTTATTGATCATTGGAAAACATGAAATCATTTTGATCTGCTTTAGACTGAAACATTTTTCCAAGATTATTTCTAAAACAATTAACTAAGTTTCACAGATCTAATAATAAAAATACTTACGTAACCCAAGAAAAGAAATGGTAACAGGAAAGCCAGGCCTTTCCACATCCACGACATAAAACCCTCTAAAATAAAATCATTAAAAATACAGGTCAATACAGTAAAGACAAGACAGGACAGGTTTCCTCATCATGAAGTTAATATTTAGATTTTTAATTATCAATATAATAAACACTAAGTTCTATCCTTATATAACATCAAATATCTATAATCCCATTGCAAGTCAAAAAAATATATGAAAGACCTTCAAATCCATACAATGACCTTGACCTCATTTACTTACCTACTGTAATATCCATATCATGACCTTCACCCAGTGACCTCATTCTATATAAACACCCACTTTGATAATAATATTGCATCACATATACACAGCCTAGTGATAAATTTAAACAAATATAATTGAGATTAACACCAGAAGATCAACTCTTAGAATTCACTAGGTCATTCTAGACTAGAACAGGGACAATTGAACTATGGCTGGTCCTGTTTAAAATATGTGACAGACAATGGAAGAAACAGAAGGCTCATGCTTATATCCTGACAAAATAAGAGTATCCAATTTTAACGACTATAAGGTGATAGAATATTTGATTGATATAATTCCTCATGTGAAAAGTTCATTAACTGCTACCAATGTTTCGTCAATATGTTGTTGTGGATTTCAGGTTTCATTTTGAGGGTTGGATCACTAGTACTTGTTTATTTATTCAAGAAATTTACTTACTTAGATATAGTGTAAAGAAAATATACTGCTTTCTAAACAATTGATATGTTAAACTATCTGGCCTAGAAAATATTTCATTTCATTATTAAGTCATAATTTCATTCAACTTCCTAAAAACAGAGTTATACATTTTTAGTTTTGTCTTTTAACACATCTGAGCTCATCCAATACAGGGTGTATAATGTTAACAATGATATGCTGACAACGGCACGTCTATCTATTGCAGGGTGTATAATGTTAACAATGATATTATGTTGACAACGGCACGTCTATCTAATGCAGGCTGTATAATGTTAACAATGATATTATGCTGACAACGGCACGTCTATCTAATGCAGGGTGTATAATGTTAACAATGATATTATGCCGACAACGGCACGTCTATCTAATGCAGGCTGTATAATGTTAACAATGATATTATGCTGACAACGGCACGTCTAATGCAGGGTGTATAATGTTAACAATGATATTATGCTGACAACGGCACGTCTATCTAATGCAGGTTGCATAATGTTAACAATGATATTATGTTCACAACGGCACATCTATCTAATGCAAGGTGTATAATGTTAACAATGATATTATGTTGACAACGGCACGTCTATCTAATGCAGGGTGTATAATGTTAACAATGATATTATGTTGACAACGACACGTCTATCTAATGCAGGTTGTATAATGTTAACAATGATATTATGCTGACAACGGCACGTCTATCTAATGCAAGGTGTATAATGTTAACAATGATATTATGCTGACAACGGCACGTCTATCTAATGCAGGCTGTATACTGTTAACAATGATATTATGCTGACAACGGCACGTCTGTCTAATGCAGGCTGTATAATGTTAACAATGATATTATGCTGACAACGGCACGTCTATCTAATGCAGGGTGTATAATGTTAACAATGATATTATGTTGACAACGGCACGTCTATCTAATGCAGGCTGTATAATGTTAACAATGATATTATGCTGACAACGGCACGTCCAATGCTTATAATGTCTCAGATACAAAATCTTCATCAGGAAAACTTGTTAAGAGATTTAATTGTACATGTATAACATGTTAAATCATACTAAATATTGTGTTTGTTTCTTGTTTAAAGGAAACTCCTATGTACATACTAATACAAATCTGAATACATGAAACTTGAATCTGGTCATTTTTCTGAGTATATTTTACTTGAGATATAAAAAGCTTCAGGAAACCAAGATTATAACTATACATGTGAGATATTCTATTTACTAATAGTTTTACTATTTGTCTCTCCTTGCTAGAAATGACATATCTATATATTTATTATTGTCCAGTATTTATTGCAGTGCTCTGTATATTATTAACAAATTGGACTCACCAAATCAAAGTGATACCAGCACAGACAGTAGAAATAAAATGATGAGTCAACCACCAGCCTTTTATTCTGTAAAATAATCACAGCAAATATAGTTTTAGAGCAAATCTATATACACTGGTCATCAAACTTTTACACACTGACCAAGATTAAAACCACATGTCCACCATTTATTCAACGTAAAAGACACTCGAATCAACTGTCTTAATTATTAACTTCGGCAGCAAACAATTTCAATCCATGGTAAAACAGTTTAAAATAAATACAAGCATACCTAGAGCCATTTACCACCAAAATACTTTCTCTAATAGTTAATGTACAATAATACCAGACTAATAGAAAATTTAATACAGCATCTGTCCATCTGTAATTAATAATAATACACTAAAATACTTTCTCTAATAGTTAATGTACAATAATACCAGACTAATAGAAAATTTAATACAGCATCTGTCCATCTGTTATTAATAATAATACACTAAAATACTTTCTCTAATAGTTAATGTACAATAATACCAGACTAATAGAAAATTTAATACAGCATCTGTCCATCTGTAATTAATAATAATACACTAAAATACTTTCTCTAATAGTTAATGTACAATAATACCAGACTAATAGAAAATTTAATACAGCATCTGTCCATCTGTTATTAATAATAATACACTAAAATACTTTCTCTAATAGTTAATGTACAATAATACCAGACTAATAGAAAATTTAATACAGCATCTGTCCATCTGTTATTAATAATAATACACTAAAATACTTTCTCTAATAGTTAATGTACAATAATACCAGACTAATAGAAAATTTAATACAGCATCTGTCCATCTGTAATTAATAATAATACACTAAAATACTTTCTCTAATAGTTAATGTACAATAATACCAGACTAATAGAAAATTTAATACAGCATCTGTCCATCTGTTATTAATAATAATACACTAAAATACTTTCTCTAATAGTTAATGTACAATAATACCAGACTAATAGAAAATTTAATACAGCATCTGTCCATCTGTAATTAATAATAATACACTAAAATACTTTCTCTAATAGTTAATGTACAATAATACCAGACTAATAGAAAATTTAATACAGCATCTGTCCATCTGTTATTAATAATAATACACTAAAATACTTTCTCTAATAGTTAATGTACAATAATACCAGACTAATAGAAAATTTAATACAGCATCTGTCCATCTGTTATTAATAATAATACACTAAAATACTTTCTCTAATAGTTAATGTACAATAATACCAGACTAATAGAAAATTTAATACAGCATCTGTCCATCTGTTATTAATAATAATACACTAAAATACTTTCTCTAATAGTTAATGTACAATAATACCAGACTAATAGAAAATTTAATACAGCATCTGTCCATCTGTTATTAATAATAATACACTAAAATACTTTCTCTAATAGTTAATGTACAATAATACCAGACTAATAGAAAATTTAATACAGCATCTGTCCATCTGTTATTAATAATAATACACTAATAATCTTCATATTTTGTACTTCTGGTAACATTTGATCTTTATTTTTTGTACTGAACTCTAATTCTATTAGATTCTGTCAACTTGTAGGCTCTTTATAACATAAAATATATTTAGAAATATTGATTTATTCAAACAGGCCTTCTCTTCTTTTAGAAAAACGTAACATCAAAAAAAGATCTAAAATAACAATATGCTGAGTTTTCAAACCATACTAAATTTCTTATCAACAATTTCAAAGCATTGTTCCATTTGAGTAAAATATAATATATAAAATCATTACCTGTATTCAGTTATAAAATGCATGAATGCAGATAAAAACATCACAACATATGTTACAGTTAACTTAAATTTCTCATAATTCTGTTTATACTGAAATCTAAAATCATGGTTGAAGGAATATTAACAGATACATTTACTATTTAACATCAAACTAGACTTGACTACAGGTTAATACATGTATTAAGCTAAGCTCAGTCAGCAGCCTGCTAGGTGTGTAGTGACATGGGTTAGAATCCATCTGATGCCATGGCCTCAATATAATATAATATAATATCAAGTTTTAATGTGTGGTAAATGAAATATTAAGAAGTTTATAGCTTTTATTAAACAGAGCTTTTGATTGGTTGAATATTAAATGACTTAAAACATGAGATGTGTTATACTATCGTCGGATCAGAGATGTATAAGAATAGAAGTCATCAGGTTTATATGTTAATCAGATTGAATAATAAAACTAAGACTTACTTATCAGCTTTGTTTAATAGTGAAATATTGACACTGCCTAATATTATACTCAAATATAATCTGAAAACATAATTAATATAAACAAATTATCACCAATATTTTAACAAAGAAATTTCTTTTTGTTCCTATATTTATCCTCAAGCTTTCAAAGTATCAAAGGTGTTTTTATTTAAGCAAATCGTATCGACACAGATCAAGGTGTGTAATCAGTGTTGCAACTCGGTTATGTCAATTGTCATTTATCTATGGTGATTTAATTTGCTTATAATCGACTGTCAAAGTGATTTGATATGATTTGATTCAATAAAAATGCCTAAAAAAAGTGTTACAACAAACCCGTTTTTATGTGGTAGAATTTCCTCCATGTCTCTAAACACACTTTTTCTCTCTGACATATCATTCTTTAACTTGGTTACTTTCTCTTTTTCTTCTTCTGCTATATTAGCTAGGTTTATTCTAAATCAGAATACTCTGACATTTAAACTTGTTAAGGTTTATATATATATATATGGTCTGACAATTAAGATCATATGAGAAATGTTTGTAAGCTTCTTCTAACAAGAATTCTGATTAAGGCCAATAATATATTAATTTGTATCATACAAGCACCAGGTAGTCTTGTCTCTTCATCAGCAAGATTGTCAATGAGAGTTAAACAAACTTGCAGCAGTCATAAGGTATTCTAACGCAGTTATCAGCCTATCCTTAGTTTGCAGCCAAATTAACGAAACTATAAATCAATCACTAACTTTTTCAAGGTTTCGTTGATCTGTTTGATTCTATAACGATGATGGGCTATACTGGCCATGCATTTCTTCTGGTAAGTGACCATCTCGTCCAGTTTCTTCTGATAGGTCTTGTGGTCATTCTAAAATACAAACATACTTATCATTTGGTGTGAGATGATATACTCAAGATTACGTTTAGTTTAGCTGGCACAATGGCAGTTTTCTTCAACTATGTTCAATAAGTAGATGTGAATGCTCACTGACAATATTGAATTCAGAATCGAATGTTTAAGGCACAATGATTTGTGTTTCCTACCTGTTTTAACTATGTTGAGTGCAGGTCTTGTCAATCTAGGCCTACCGCTGCCAGTAACTTGATAATATGCATTTACAAACTATCTGTTCAACGTGTTCTAAATTTACTAATTTACATACATTGGTATGTCTCTTGTGTTACTTGAACATCTGAAACCTTTTAGTGGCTTATGAATTAAGATGCACTCAGAACCTCATCTTAATGATTTCAAATTATTACGAAGTCTGTCTGCAACTTTTCTTGTATTATGGGTATTTCTAAATGCTGCAATTTGATTGGATTGATATTGTATGCTACTGAATACAGCCAATGAGAAACTCACACAAAGCCTAAATATTTACAGTCTTTCTGTTTAGGGCTCTGGTTGTATGCACTGATATTCAATCCAATCATGTAACTGCATAATATTACAAGACTTTGATATAGTCTAGGTGATAACAAATTTCTTAGACAGTTTGTGTCAATGAACTATGACCTCAACTATCATAACCATGTCAAAACTCAAAACTGGAGCAATGAAAATTGATAGAATGCAAACGTCAATGTTTTTAGAAGTGCACTTACCTCAAGTTGAACGAATTCTTTCTCCAAATCATTCCAGTCGTCAAAACATCCATCTAGATCGGAGGTTGTCATTGAGTAATTTACACCGAATTGATGTTCAAAGTGCAAAATAAAAAGAAGTTAGCAAACGAACAAAGATCAAAAGTCGATGATGTTTATTCATGGACCAAATCTAACTCATGAATAGGAGAGTTTAATTCAAGGTGAGTAACTCGCTGCTCCAACCTACTTCAGACTACAGTAGATTGTTACAGTTATATATAAAGATATACGACACTGGTTAATGTCGAATATTGATTACTGTCTTCTATAGGTTTGATTTCCTTTACATGTTCATAATAATATACTAAACATTGCTTCATATCTGTCCACCAAAATCAACATTCGTTCTCTAGATCAATAATCAGTCAAGTTATATTAGTTTGTATCAGCAGAATTCTACAATTTTGAATATTAAAGCTAAATAAAAACACAAGAAAGAATTATGCTTGTACAGTTTGGTCTTCTATAGGTTTGATTTAGATAATGCTGGGTTAGAAACTAGTAATGTCTTCTGTCATGCTTTGATTTTAACAACGACCAAGATTTTCAACTTGACAAATCACTGTATAAAATATATGATGAATTGTATTTTCAGGTTTCAATAACGACAATCATAGTGCCAAATCTAAATGTGACTAAAAAAAGCAACTCTCCGAACACAGTCAGCTCAATATTCAATATTTCACCCGTTTCATAAAAAAAAGGGACAAATGCGCCATTTTTTGTATATATATCTTAGTCTCAGAAACGGGAATTGTTTAGCTTAGCCAATCACAGCTCACCGTCGAAATTTTTTTATCTAACATCTGTTTACCACTTTCCCACTGTCCCCAGCATTATATACGACAAACTGTAGATAGAGAATAAATAAAATACAGAGAGATCGGATGGCATTGCAATTCAACATTTGTTGTAGGTCATTAAAATCTTAAACCAATCAAATACTCATTTCATTTCATGTTCTTCCGATTGGCGAGAGGAATTCTGGGTTATTCATTGTAACCTTTTGACTTGTAGTGTCTGTCTATTTTTCAAGCGTTTTGATAGGTTAGAAAAATTTATGACAATAATATTAATAATAATGATAATAATAATGATAATAATAATAATAATAATAATAATATTAATAATAATGATAATAATAATAATAATAATAATAATAATAATAATGATAATAATAATAATGATAATAATAATAATAATAATAATAATAATAATAATAATAATAATAATAATATTAATAATAATGATAATAATAATAATAATAATAATAATAATAATAATAATAATAATATTAATAAAAATGATAAATAAAATGATAATAATAATAAT